GAAGTAAAATTCTGAGTCAGAAAGTTCATGAACGTAGGCATTATTATATTCTTTTATCCCCTCATACATTTAATCTTCATAATAATGTCTCTGCTTCAATATGTATAATTCATGCCCAGGTTCATTGCATTGTTTTAAAGCATCATATTGTTCGTTTTATAAAATTCCCCCACCAGTCGGCAAATATACACGCCCCAAGTCCATACTACTTATGGCATAAAAGGATCAATTATAAAAAGTTTTAATGGTGTCTCTTAATCTTATGAGGTGTTTTTTCAATCCTCTCACCTTAGCATTGTTAGTTCCAAATGATATTTTTGTGCAATATATTATTATTTTAAAAAATCAAACTTAATATATTAGTATTTATGAATACTTTGTTCGCATTTAAAATTTTAATATTGGTATTTTTATTAATAAAATTAGCATTAGAGGACTGAAAAAGATACTTCATAAAAGTCAAAGAATTAAAATAAAATATTGGTGAATATCCTGCACAGGCGCACACCTACAGAAGGATAGATAAATAGATCAATACCAAATCAAAATTAGTTTTGTTGGTACTAATAAATTGTTGAAACCCTTTAACGATATTTAAAGCTATTTTTTGTTGAATAAGTATTGTATGATATTTATTGTACTGTTATCATACCCACGCTCAAAATAAGACATTTATCTTTATATTTTTTTTCATCTTTAATATAAGACTCCGTTTTTAAGATGGTTTGGACATGTGCAGAGAAGCCCATTGGAGGCCCTGGTGAGGAGGGTGGATCAGACAAGATGGAGTCCCATAAAAAAGAACAGAGGAAGACCAAGAAGAACATTTAATGAGGTCATTGAACGAAACCTCCTAGTCAACAACATATCTAAAGACTGGGTTGTTGACAGAACATGATGGCGTCGTGTGGTTCATAAAGCCGACCTCATCTAGTAGGATAAGGCTTATTGTTGTTGTAATATAAGACTCCGTTTATTATTTTGGAAATGTTAAGGGAGCTAAAAAATTACTTATTTATAGCATGTGTTACATAACCTCTCTGAAATATTTGTATACTATTAGATTAGATATCAATTTACACGTTAGATGAATTAGTTTGAACAAAATAAGTATAAATATTTTTAAATAATTTTAAAATTTTTTTAATATCTTTAAATTAGTCAACTGAATCTTTTATATATATATATATATATATATTAAGAACTGGACGTAATATATATTGCTTTGTCCTATATCAGGAGAGAAAATAAAGTTATGATACATGTATGAATACATATTTTTGAAATGGACTTTTTCTAAAATTTAATATATCTAATAAGCATTTGATAAAAAATATATTTTATAAGCGTATATAATAATTATTTCTAAATGAATATTTATATGAATTTTATTTATACTTGACATAAAATTGGGTTAAATTGCATTTTTACCGAAAATTATATCCTTGGAGGAGCTATATAAACATTGTAAAGAACACTGTGTGGAAAATATATATCACTCTAGCTTTTAAAATTGGTACAATATTACGCTATTTTTAACCGTTCACGTTGAATAAAAAACTCTCTTAGCTTGTACTCCCTCCGTTCCTTATTATAAGAGACATTTGATGCTTATGGCATGTTCCCAAATATAAGAGACACTTAAAAGTTGTCTCTAGTTTTTTGTATTAATTTCCTATTTTACCCCTATTTACTTTGTCTTCTACCCATACTCTCTCTCCCTCCCACTTCTTTTTCTTTTAATAATTTAATTGTTCTCTCTCATACTCTCTCTCCTTATTAATAGGGGTATTGTTGGAAAAAACATTATACTTTTTACATATTAATTGTCCTCAACTAATTTTAACTGTTTTTTTGATCAACGTAATTTAGTTATTTGTCTCTTATAATAAGGAACGGAGGGAGTACTAATTATAAAAAGAAAATAACTTAAGTCAAGTTTTTTATATCTATTATGTCAACTTTTTTAATTATATAAAGACCATGTATCCTGTTTTTTAACCTTTTCACGCAAAAAAAAAAATAATAATACTACATTTGGTTCTTAATATAAGACCTAGTTGATTGATTTGGAGAAATTAAAAAAGTTACATAATTAATTTAAAGTAATTATATTTCTCGCTTTTCTTCAAACTAATTTGCATCACTTATAAATTGATATACTACTTCCAATTCTAAATATAAGAGCTAGTTGGAGATTCAATTTGGGTTTAAATATAAGATCTTAATCCACTCTGTCTCCTATATTTGTTCATTTTTTTCTCAAAGGAGTCCCATGGTGATCACACAGATTAAAAAGTTTACACTCTAATGCACATGATTAACATGGGCAATTTAGAAAAACCAATATTCATTTATTACAAATAACTAAATTAATTTTTTAATATTCACAAATTAGTTGTCTAGCTCTCTTCTATTAAGGCCCGATGGTAGTCTAATTATACACATTAGTATTTTAGAGAGGTCAACATATGTTATAATTAAGTAATTTAGTAATTTTTTTAATCTATAAATGAATCAACTAGATCTTATATTAAAGATTGGAGGTAGTATTTTGAAAATAGTTCACATGACCATGGTTAGTTGGACAAGCTAGTATAATGAATATAAGGTTTGATGTAAATATTGCCCATTGTCAAAATTGGGTGACATTGCATCAATCTTAAAAGCTTATAAGCTAAATTGCTTTATAGTTTTTTTTTTTTTGAAAAATAACAAAAAAATCCTGTGGAAGTTGTAAAATTTTAAATTAGGATTAGTTACAATACTTTAACAGGCTTTAACAATAATTGACTTGTAAATAACAGCATATTTATGTAAAAATAGGTTATAAAATTTTTTGTAATTTTACAGTTTTTTTAATCATTTTCTCCTCTTTCTTTGAGTGTCCGTTTTAAAATACTTTCTGATAAAAAATGCATTTTAGTTTTTCGAAAAAATGCAACTGGCACTTTAGTCCGATAAAGTTTGGGATAAGTTACATTGTTCATGACTTTGGACAGTATTTATTTGTGATAAATTTAATTGCATGTATGGTTAAAAGATGTAACTGTCACAAGTCTTAAACTAATGTCAAATAATTACTCAAAACTACAACAATAAAAAGTTGGAAACTCACAAATTCATGAAGAATTGTTTTGTACGTAAAATGATAATGACGTTACTTATTTGAATAAAACAGATATATTCTGAAAAATGGCTAAAGTATACATTTACTCCTTTAACTTTGTACAAGGTTTTTATTTGGTCCTTTAAAAAACATATATTTGGTTCTTTAACTCTAAAATCATTAGGTTTCAATGATGATTTTTTGTAACAATCATGGATATTTTAAAAATCAAACTTAATATGTTAGTATTTGAGAATATTTTATCAACATTTAAGATCTTAATGTCATTATTTAAAAAAAAAGCTTTAAGATTAAAAGACTAAAAGCATACTTTTTAAAGTTAAGGGATCAAATTAAAACCTTGTACAAAGTTATAGGACCAAATGTATACTTTAGTCCTGAAAAATAATGAAAGAAAATTTACATACTAATATATATTCCCGTTCATCTCTATTATAAGTCATTTCTAATTAATTTACACATACCGATAAAAAATATTTAAAAGTATTAAATTTATTATAGAATTTAAATGATTTTCAATATACCATTTATTAACAATACAAAACTCTAATATCATATTAATTTTTATTCTCTTATTACTTTTTAAATATGGGCAAGCATGGTAAAAAAAAAAAATCTAGTGCTTCTTGAAACTAAGAAAATCCCTTACAAAAAGGATAAAAAAAATACTTGTTAGTTGATTCCTTATAATGAAAATAAGAGTAAGAGATAAATGATTTACCATTAAGTTTGTTGCTTTGGAATTCTGGTTGGTCTTTTGTACTCCAATTTTGATTATGGAGGAGTTGCTTCTATTGGACTGGACTAGATGTGATTTTTACGCTTTTACTAAATGGGCTTTCATGTTATTAATTTTTGTGTGATTGTGTAGTGTAATTTAATTTCCACCAAATGTTTGTTTAATTACTTGCAAGTGATAAAAATCTTATTTTCGCTGCATATAAGTCTTTGGCTTGTGCTTTTATTATCATTAATGACCTAAAATCTATGAACAACTATTAAATTTAGATAGCCCCAGACAAAAATTTAACAATATATAGCATTTTATTTTATCTAAATAGATGAGATTTGACATTCATATGCAAAAACGAATCTTAAATGGATACATGAACTTTGACATTCTCATGATGAATTACTTAATAAATGGTATTAACTCCCTGACCCTTATTGACACTCAAACCTACTAATGCCTCTGTTTAATTTTTTTTTTTACATGTCATGGAAAAAGGAAAAAAAGGAGCTTTTACAAAAGGAAATAACCATTTTGCCAATATCTTAAAGATTTTTTTTTTTGGAAAAATGACAAAAAATACCTATTGAATTTTAAAAAGATAAATAGGTCATGCTAATTATTCTTATAATGATTTTGAGACTACTCAAAATCCACCAAAATCACCTATTTGTCATTTTAAAATTTAGTGAGTATTTTTATGTCATTTTTCTTTTCTTTTTTTGAAAAATTAATCTTCTTTTTTAAATTTAAGCTTTTCTGCACAATAGGTATCTTAAAAGTCAGGAATTAGCCCATCAAATTAAAGGATAAGGAAGTTTGAAAGATGAATATCTTAATTAGATGCCTATTATTTGAACAAATTAAAGAACTGAAAAAAGAATTCAATTTCTTTTTCAAAAGAAGAATAACTCAAAAAACACGTTTAACAGAAAAAAAAAAAATCTCTCAAATTAAATTAACATGTGATCCAAGTACAGGTCCTCTCTTGTTTGTTCACATCAATCGCTCGGTTCAATTATAAAATAACATCGCTCCGTCAATAAAGCTCCATATTTGTACAAATCTTTGAATTATTAAACCAAACTTCACTATATTATTCTTCGCTCCTCCTCCTCCTCCTCCTCCTTCTGAATGATCATGGAAGCCATAACTGAGATTGCAGTCGTAACCATCCCTGCGTATAGCCACCAAGCCTCCATTCTCGAGTTCTGTAAACGACTTGTTCTTCTCCAAAACCATGGCCAGTTCCATGTGACCTGCTTCATCCCTACTCTCGGATCACCTCCTAGTGCTTCCATGGCTCTGATTCAGTCCCTTCCTTCTTCCATAACCTGCACTTTTCTTCCTCCTGTGAACCTCCACGACCAACCTCTGGATCTTCCATTGGAAGTCCAGCTTCAGCTCGCCGTTTCTCGGTCTATGCCGCTCGTTCGCGAGGCCTTAAAGTCCCTCGGTTCGAGCTCGAGCTTGGCGGCTATGGTGGCTGAGCCTTTATCCATTGAAGCATTAGCAATAGCCAAGGAACTTAACATCATATCGTATCTTTATTTCCCTTGTTCTGCTATGATGCTTTCACTTTGCTTTTATTCTGCCAAGCTGAATCAAAGAGTTACTTGTGGTCATCAGTTTAGAGACCTACCAGTACCCATTGAGATTCCTGGTTGTGTTCCTGTGAATGGAAAAGATCTCCCAGATAATCATCAAGATCGATCAAGTTCGGCTTATGAGCAGTTTCTTCAACGTTGTCAATTATACCATCTTGCTGAAGGTAAATGTTCCTTTGTTTGTATGATACTACCTCTCGTCCTAATTATGAGGCCTTATTTGTAATCTATAAATAAGGTCTTATAATTAAGATCGGATGTAGTATTATTAATTCCCACAAGAAGAATGAATTAATGACATAGTTAGGTTCTGAAAAGTTTTTTTTTTGAAAAAAAAAGAGTTGCAAATATCGATTTACACTGTTGCAAACAGAGATTCTAGTTACAAACCGATGCTACTTCCTATCCTAAACACAAGATTTAATTTATAGTACAAATTATACTACAAACTAGATCTTTTATTTAGAACAGGAGGTAATGACATTTGAAACTTAAATGCCTTTGTCTGCTGGATCAATATTTGCTAGAAAAATTTGTTAGTGACTTGAATGTCTACTAATATTCATGCATTTGTTTATGCATTGTAAAAAGAAAATAATACCAAGTACATTGTGTGCTTTTATATGTTCAGCATCTCCTTTTTTATATATATTTCGAAATTCACTTTTGTTAACATAAAATATTAGTTTTTGTAGCCACCAACATAAAATATAAATTATACAAGTCTTTTGAAGATAACTCGTACACAACAGCTCAGCACCACGCTTTAATTAATTCTATATTGTGCGCAAATTAAGAGGAAAAGCATGTCCCTTTAGTATTGAACAATTAAACAAGTTGTATATGTATCTTGACATTTTCAACATATTAGACGACATACATTTCGCTCTCACCCCAGTTTATAATTCTTAACGAAAAGACAAATTCTCTTTTATTATTTCCCAGTTGCCTTTTATTAAAGAGATATTACTGTCATTCGTTAGCTCATGCTTTTTCAGTAGCCTATTATAAAAATTAAAATATTTTATTATTGGCCGGTTTAATTTGTTTCAAAAAGTCTTGATATGAGGTCACAAAAAACAATTTTTATTCTTACTTTTTTCCCAATTATATATATATATTAATAATAATATCTCTTGCAGGTATCTTATTGAATAGCTTCGAAGAAATGGAAGCAGGAGCCATAAGAGCCTGGCAGCACGAGGAACCAGCCGGAAAAGGACAAACTAAGAAATACCCTTCTGTACATGCAATTGGACCCATAATAAAAACCGGGTCCAGCATTGAACCAAACCGGTCAGACCGGGACTGTGACAAATGCTTAAGATGGTTAGACACACAGCCACCAAGTTCTGTTCTGTTTGTTTCCTTTGGAAGTGGTGGGAGATTATCTCAAGCCCAGATCAATGAGCTAGCTTTAGGGTTAGAATTAAGTGACCAAAGATTTCTATGGGTTAACGTGAAATCACCAAGTGATAGAGCCAGTGCTAGTTATCTAAGTGATAAAAATGAAGAAGACCCACTTCATTTCTTACCCTCAGGCTTTCTGGAAAGAACTAAGGAACGAGGTTTGGTCATGGCTTCTTGGGCCCCACAAGTTCAAGTCCTAGGTCATAGTTCAGCAGGAGGGTTTCTAAGTCATTGTGGTTGGAACTCAATACTAGAGAGCATTGCAGAGGGAGTGTCAATTATAGCGTGGCCACTTTTTGCAGAACAAAGAACTAATGCTGCAATGTTAGCTGATGGGCTAAAAGTTGCTATAAGGCCAAGACTTAGTGACAACAATAGTGGGATAGTGGAGAAAGAAGAGATTAGTAGGGTTATAAAGTGTATAATGGAGGATGGTGATGAAGAAGGTGAAGAAATTAGAAGAAGAATGAAAGAGCTTAAAGATGCTGCTTCTTGTGCTTTAATGGAGGATGGTAGTTCAACAAAGACACTGTCAAATTTGGCCCTCAAATGGAGAAATCTGAATCACATTAATTAGAGAAACTGGATTCTCTTTATAAATTTTCTCTCATGTTGTTCCATATATATAAGTTGGAGCATTAGTTCAGTCTAAAAGGGAAGAGTAGAGAGATATATATAAATTTTATATGAAGATGACAGAAAAAAAATTGCTATTGATGCTGTTATGAAACCCATTAATTTTGGGTCCATGTATGAAACTTTGTCTTATATTTATTCGAGTTAGTGGCATTTCATGCATTACAAAAATTTGCTATAACAAGAGAAAGTCTGGATTGAAGTATACATATTGGATGAGAAATTCACGTTAAGGAAAGATCAAATTCTTATCATCATTTTTGAATTGTTAATTAGATTGAACCAATACTCCTATTCATTTATGAAACAAACTTTGTTTAAAGTATCGAAGAATGAGGTCCATTTCGTAATTAGATCTCATGATTTGAGGCATTATATTAGGGTCATACAATATAATATATATCAGAGTGTTCTGTATACATTAAAAATGTCAATTTAAATGAGTAGCATATATAGGCTAAACCATATATAAAGGCGTAGCCTAGGTTAGAAAAGTCAAAGATAATATCCATAAATTAATTCAAGAAGTATAATATATTATTGTTCTTAGTTTATAAAATAAAACTGAATTACACATATAAAGCCTTTGAACACGGATCTGTCTCGCGTGCCCCCTCACACACACACTATATAAATATTTGTGTCTCTATATATATGTGTGTGCGCGCGCACGACAATAACAGGAAAGCAACCCCACTCTTAATAAGAAAATATTAAGAATCTTAATCCAAAGGCTGTAACAGATTAATTATGTAAATAATGGCTTAGTTAGAATTTAGTTAGTGTACAGCTGTAAAGTAGCTAACATCATCACGTGGCTCTCTGTATATAAACACTTGTACTACTCATTTTGTGAATAAGACAAATCTTTTACTCCCTCTCTTTCTCTTTCTCTTTTTTTTTTTTTCATATTATGGTATCAGAGCACACATACTCTCTGTACCCTTGATTCCATTTCTCTCTTTCTTCTCTCTCTCCTTGATCTATGGCTCCATATAGTTCTTCTTCTTCTTCCTTAGATCAGTCTCAAGATTTAACGAGTTGTTTTTATCTGCATCCCAATGAAAATCCATCCCTCATTCTTGTTTCTCCTCCTCTCACAGGTTCGAATTATCATCACTAGGCATGAGCCATGACTATGGCTCTCATGAGCAAGAACTAATTTCAATTTGTCGATGGTTCTTTGAAGATTCCTGAGAAAAATGATTTTCTCTTTTCGGCGTGACAACGATGCAATACCTTGGTTCTGACTTGGATCAATCGTCCACTTTCTCCTTCAATTGCACAAAGCGTGATCTGGATTAATAAAGTTGTTGATGTTTGGAATGGTCTGAAAGAGCATTTTAGTCATGGCGATATTTTCAGAGTTGCTGAATGTTCACCGTTTAGCTTAACTACAAGCGGACAAGTCGCAAGTAGTATAAAAAGTATCGTTCCCTCAGAGACTAAGGCCAGATGAGTTAAAAATCATAATTGTGCTCATGATTAGGTTAAGTGAAATAGTTGTTGTAAATAAAGTTTTTTAATGTACTTTGAAAACAAAGATAAAACTTGAAACGAAATAAACTTGACTTTGAAACAAATAAGGATCTAGGGTTATTTCTCACTATTGTATTTTATAAAACTTGATTAGTAACTTCTCATTTAGTGTTTTAACGATAAGTTAAGTTAGCCTAAGGTTCACAAATATTGATTAAGCATTCTCAAGTCAAAATCAAGTTTTGTAATCTTAGTAAAACTTCACATCTTGCTTTTACTTAAAAAGATTACACTTTGAAAACCAAAACCCTTTTTGGACAAAGCTAGGCCAATAGATATATCTCTATTCTATCAACAAACCATCCATTTAATAGGATAAATTTTTAGTCTAGCATGTTTTTACCCAAGTTCAAAAATCAATTTAACTTTCTCAAGCTTCAACCAATCAACAAATCATTCCAAATGGTGGCCATTCATAAGGAAGCATTAATCTCAAGATAAAAACAACATAACATTATCATTAACACTAAAGAGAGAGTGAAGACAAGTCTTAATCCATATAATAGATCAAAATAACCTTAGAATGACTATTCTAGTTACAGATATTCAGCAAAAGAGCTACAAATATAAAGACATTTTGTAGCCATTATAGAAACAAAAGAGAATAGAAGAAGAAAATCAAGGAAAAGGAAGAAAGAAGCTTTAAATCTCTTGCAACTTCAAGCCCAATATTCCTAAGCTTCAAAATCTCTAAACCCTAGCAGAGAATAGCTCCAAATAAGCCCCCAAGTTCAAGTTTGACTGAAAATCACGAGTTCTCCCTCTTATATGCCCTAATTTTTAAGTTATAATGTAAAATGCATAGCTGTGAGGCGATAGACATCGGAATGGATAGGCGCATCTGCTGTGGCGAATTACACAGAGAAGGAACTCTCAAGAAGGGATTAGGCACCACCGCAAATTTGTACATGCACCGCAGTGCCTATCACAGAATGGCAATCTCCTTGGAAAGGACTAGGCGTCGCGGCAGATTTAGACAGGTACTGTGGCGCATCATGCAGAATGTCTCTCCTCTTTTCTGTTTGAGACGCCGTGGCAAATTTCTTCATGCACCATGGCAGATGGTGCCTTTTTAGCCTCCTTAGCTTGGTTCTTCCATCTTTGCTCACTTTAGGTTCTTGATCTTCCTATGATCATCCAAAATTTGTTGAATCTTTCTCCTTGTCATTCATCTTCCAACTCTTGCTATTTCCTATACCAAGAATCTTAGAAACATTGCACAAATAATCCCCAATTGTTAGCATAAATCAAAGTTTCCTTTTTCAAGTCATATTTTCTAGCTTTAAGAGAATAACCCTGTATAATTAGCTTTCAAAACCTAGAAATGAGTGTTAAAACAAGTTGAATTGGTAGGAATTTTGAGAGGTTATCACTGAGCTTTAAGAGGAGCTCTGTCAGTTTTGTCAAGGTAATCTTTCTGTTTCTGATTATTTTACCAAGATGAAGATAATTTGGGAGGAGTTATTGAACTTTCGCCTTTTGCCTAATTGTTCGTGTTATGCTAAGTCTTATACTCAGCAAGACTATGTAATCCGATTCCTCAGAGGTCTCAATAACCGATTCTCTAATGTTCGATCTTAGATCATGTTAATGGATTTGATTCCTTCAATCAATAAAGTTTTCTCTCTTATTATCCAACAAGAACAAGAATTGAATGGATTTGTTGAATCCACTATATGCTTTACTTGCACATCTAGACCACCAAATCTATCTTCTATATGGATCGAGCAATAATACCAACAAAGTATGCACATACTGTGGAAAACCATGACACATAATGGAAACTTGCTACAAGAAGCATGGATATCTACCTAGTTTCAAATTCTGGAATAAAGGAGCTTCTATTCATAATATGGTGACATTTAACTCTTCATCCGCTAAGGTTTTGCCTTGCGCACCCCTCTCTGCCAACACTACTAGTCCTATAACTCAAGATCAATACCAAAAGTTACTAGCTCTATTACAACCTCCCACTGTGTCTCAATTTTCTGTGTTTCCTCCTATCCCTGTTTCTGTAGCTAATGCTACTCATCATGTTAATCAAACGTCCTCTCTTACTCTTATGCCTAATCTTGATAAGCCAGGTAATCATAATGTTCTTTCTCTTCACTCTACACATGATTCATCTTGGATAATTGATAGTGGAGCTACAACTCATGTCTATTTTTCTTTATCCTTATTCACATCTTATTCTAAAATCTCATCTATTCGAGTTACTCTCCCTACTCATTCTGCTGTCATCACTACTATTTCTAGTACTGTTCAAATAACTCCTTCTATATGCTTAACTAATGTTCTGTATATACCTGAATTTTATTTCAACATTATATCCCTCACTTAGATGACTATAAAACTTCATTGTTGTCTTATATTTTTCTCTTTTTATTGCCTGATTTAGGATTTGAGGACATGGAAAATGATTGGTATGCTAAGGTTTATACATGTTGCAGAATCACAATTCTTCAGCTTCTTGTGTGAATTCTGTTTCAACTTCTTCTAATCCTAATACAGCTTCTTAATTTCATTTGTGGCATTATCGTCTTGGTCATCTTTCTTCTTCTGTTTAGATACTTTACATTCTCAATTTTTTTTTATTCCTTGTATACCACATAATAAAAGTTGTGATGTATGCCCTTTTGCAAAGCAAAGAAAATTACCTTTTCCTACTAGTGTCACTCAGACTACTCATTTTCTGGAACTTGTACCTGATATATGGGGTCTCTATCATATTGAATCTATTCATAGCCACAAATATTTCTTAATTGTTGTTGATGACTATACACATCATACTTGGGTTTGTCTTTTTAAAGCTAAATATGAAGCTCGTTCATCTCTTTAAAATCTCCTTGTTTTCCTAGAAAATCAATCCAATCAGATTGTTAAATTGTTGTTGATGACTATACAAGTCATACTTTTCATGGCATGTCATTTTCTATGGATCCATTTTTTTCATTTGTCACAGTTTCTATACCTGTTTCTTTTCCTACTTCAATTGTTCCTATGCCTCAGTCTTTTATTCCTATTGATGATCTTGTTCCTTCAACTGTTCTTTCTCCACCTACTACAATTGGTCCTTCTAACTTTGTTACTTCTTCATCTTCTCCTTCTACTACTGACCATGTTTCTTCTTCATCTCCCTTTCTGTCACCTTCTACGGAACATTCCTCTCCGTGTCCTTCTTTACCAACTCCTGTACCTTCTCATCGTTCTAGTAGAACCATCAAGCAGCCTTCATACTTAAGCAACTATCATTGCTTTTTATTAAAAATGGACTAGTCGGCTTCCATGTCTACAACCTATATGTATCCTCTACAAAGTGTTCTATCCTATGATCATCTATCTTTTCCATATAAACATTTTGTTTGCTTCATAACTGTTCCTCATGAACCAAGATCTTACAACAAAGCCATTAAATATCCTAAGTGGTAGCAGGCCATGCAAGCTGAAATTTTAGCTTTAAAGCAAACCATACTTGGATATTGATTGAGTTACCTAAGGATAAATTTCCCATTGGCTGTAAGTGGGTGTTCAAGACAAAATTTCATGCTGATAGAAGTCTTGAGCGTTACAAGCCTTGCCTTGTTGCAAAAGGG